GCTTTTATTTACCTATCCCCCGGTTCCCCAAACTTTTTTCTCCCCCCCCCCCCCCCCCCCCCGAGTGGTTTCTAAACATTTTATGCGCCCCTCCCCCCCCCATGGATACTGTATGCGCTGGTAAAAACCCAGCGCATACAGTATTTATGTTTTGTTTTTGTTTTTTTCATCCAGACGGCTTCCCGCGCCCCCCCCCCGCAATGACAGGGCGCCACCCCTAGGGGGCGCGCCCCCCAGTTTGGGAACCTCTGATCTAGTGAAAGTAAAGCTGTAAGTGAAGGAACCTGCTTTAGTTTTACAGTTGAATTGGACTTGGTCAGAACCAGCAGAGTCTGGACTGAAGGCGGATCAGAACCTAAAAATAGTCTGAGACAGTCATACGTGTGTGTGTGTGTGTGTGTAATCCTGGATTAGTGACAGTCATCATTATATGGCTCCAGCACTAAGTGGTGGTGATCAAACTGGGTCTGGACCGGGCCGGACCGGACTGCTGAGGACGGTCTGGTCTCTGAGTAACTCAGTAGAAACAGCCAGCTCCTCTTCCTCCTTTTCCTCCTCCGTGTTGAACCTCGGCTGCTGCAGTGATGACCCGGTTCTGATCCGGTCAGGTCGGTCAGTGAAGGCAGGATTATCCTGGTCCATGACATAACCGGGTTAAGAGGATTGTCTGAAAGCTCCTCCTCTTGCTCCTCTTCTTCTCACCTTGCAGAGTCTCCGTCTCCCCAGGTACCAGAACCGAGTGTCAGTAGCAGAACCGGGCCGCTGCAGGTTAGTTCTGATGGTTTATTGGTTGAACAGAACCAGCGTCCTGGAACGGAGAAGTTTTGACCTTTGACCTGTAGCCTGAGATCAGGTCAGGACGGGGACAGGACTGGTGGACATGCAAGACATCCATCTCCATGGCAACGCCATGAGATGCAGCGGCTGTGTGTTTAATGGGACGTTGTCGCTTTAAGAGGATGCCTGCAGCTTTAAGTGACATCAGCTGTGAGGGGGTGGGGCCTCACAGGAAGCAGGAGGATGATGTCAGTGTCCGACCCGAACCAGACCGCACCAGAACCGGGCCAACCTGGGCTCAGCAGAAGCAGAACCAGACTTTTTATTAACAAAGCAGTTAGCAGATAGAGGCTAGTGGTTAGCTGTGAGTGGTTAGCGGCTAGTGATTAGCGGCTAATGGTTAACTGTCAGTTATTAGCGGCTAGTGATTAGTGGCTAACGGTTAACTGTGAGTGGTTAGCAGTTAGCAGCGAGTGCAGTGGTTGAAAATGAAAATGAAAAAGAACTGTTCACACCAAAAGATTCAGTTCATCTGCACCAATAACCAGATTATTCTGGACCCAGAATTGGGCTAAACTCCTGATCCGGTCCAGATTCCGGTTCTGATCCGCTCCAGACTATCCTCCACCATTTCTCTGTCAATTTTTCTGATCTGACCACATCCTGGATTCACATCTGGACCAGCAGAATGTCGGACCGAGTCGTCTGTCCTGCAGCGTGACGCAGCCGGCAGGACGTTCCCTCTGTACTTCGGTCTGGCAGCATCATCTTCCTCATCAAGCACATCTGGAGGGGGCGGGGCTAAGCCGGCTCTGCTGCAGTAGAGAGAGAGAGGAGACGGGCGAGAGACGGGGGAGGGGGGGTGTCGCAGCAAAGAGCTGCAGCAGGACGAGGAGAGAAACAGAACATGCTGGTTCTGACCCGGTTCCCACAGCAGAACTCGCCAAGAAGACTGTATCTGAGGTAGACCTGAGCTCGACACCAGATAAAGTTCTGGTCTGGTCCGGTTTCCCCTGCCGGACCGGCCCGGCCGGGACCATGGAGTGGAACGAAGTGGACCTGGTGCAGGAGTTCACGGTGGAAGGACAATGCAGCAAGATCAAAGTCCGCTCCTGCAGGATCACCTGGGACAATCTGCAGGTACTGCAGCCGGGCCGGACCGGGCCTGCGGAACCGGCAGAGTTCTGCTGGACATCACCACACATCGACTACACCGGCTGAACTTCTGCTGGCTCCACCAAGATAAGGAGCCCAGCAGAACCAGACACAGGGTTCTGGAGGTTCTGGATGTTCTGGAGGCTCTGGATGTTCTGAAGGTTCTGGAGGTTCTGGATGTTCTAGAGGTTCTGGAGGCTCTGAATGTTCTGGAGGCTCTGGAGGTTCTGAAGGGTTCTGGAGATTCTAGAGGTTCTGGAGGGTTCTGAGGGGTTCTGGTGTTTCCAACCACTAATTTGCTAAACAAAAATCTTAGCCATGCTAACAGTAATCCATTAAACACTTGAAAAGAAAATGGCAGAAGCTAAAGCTAAACTGCTACACACAAAATTATACTAAACTGCTTACAAAAACATGCTAATGCTAAAGTGCTAATCACATTAAAGATTAGCAGAAGCTAAAGCTAACCATGATGACTCGCTAGCTGCAGTCCTCAGGTTATGATTCTGCCACATTTTATAAAGTTCATCTGTCATGAAGATGGGAAACATCTTAAGGCAAAAAATGTTTTAAGAGGCTCAAATATGTCAGCCATCTTGAAAATGCCCTTCATCCTAAAACTGTAGTGACTGATGGGAAATATGAAAAACATCAGACCTGAGTGGTTAGCATGCCTATGCTTCACCACTAGAGGGAAGTAAAGAGTAGCTCTTCTGGCTAACAGCTAACTGATCTGAGCTGTAGCAGGAAGATGAAGTTCAGTGGCCAGGTGCTTCACCTGCAGCAGAACCTCTAACCTGTCCATGCTGCCATCGCATGGTGGCCACAGCAACTGTTTTCATCAGTGCTGCTGCTCCCATGAACACCAGGGAATCACCTTGGTAACCAGTGACTCAACATATTTAGAGCCAACTTGTTCTGAAGTTACTGCAGAAAGCTTTCAGTTTTAATAATCAGACAGGAAAAGTTTTTCTAAACCAAACCTACCTCTGCTCTGGAGACACTCACTGTTAAAATGTCCTTTACTCTGTGTGTGTGTGTGTGTGTGTGTGTGTGTGTGTGTGTGTGCAGGTCCCGCAGGTAGAGCTAACCCTCTCTGAGCTCCAGGAAATGGCCACCAGGCAGCAGCAGCAGATCGAGGCGCAGCAGCAGATGCTGATGGCCAAGGTAACAGCAGCAGCGAAGCAGCCACTGCGAACAGCTCCTCCGGTTGTTGTGGAAATTTGTGCAAAATCAAAAGATCCCTGCTATTTTTCTTCCTGTGATGCATAATTGTGATTTTTCTTTTTAATTTTATGAATTTTCTGAATAAATGTTGAAAAGCATCAGCTTGAAGAGATGCTACCTCCCACCTGCAGGTGGCAGTATCTGGCCACCTGGATGTGGCGAGTTACAGAAATCAAGTTATTTAACGTATCCACCATAGACATAATATAAGCTTATATTATGTCTATGGTATCCACCTTATTCCTATGCCCCATGATGCTTTGCGTGAATTATGGGTACGACTTCCGTTGCTAACCGGAACCGACATTTGTTTGCGGGTTAGCAACTCGCTAACTGGCTTTCCACAGAGGTTTTAGGCTATAAAATATGTGCGAACTCCAGTTTTCACAGCTTAAATGCGGCAGTATTGTTTTACCGCTACCTACAGCTATTGAGGGGAGGGATGGCGACTTGAAGAAATGGCTGGAAATAACCCGCACTAGCATATTTAGCACCTGAGTGAAGTTGGCCCCCCACCTTCTTCAAATCAGACAAAATGGGTGTCAATCAACACACCTGCTGCTGCAGCCACAAAGTAAACTTGGTCTGATTATTAAAGTACAGCCACGAACAGAACAGTTACCCGAGAATCACAAGGGCAGACACTTTCCAGTGGAAAGTTGCTCTCTGTAACAGATTAATATGCGATTCGGTTCGGTTCTGGTCCAGTGGGGAGATTCTCCATATTGCGGTCTGGAGCGCAGCAGCTGCGGTCATCTCTCCGCTGATATGCAGCGACACTCAGCAATGGAGAACCTCGAGGTTCTGGTTCTGATGGACTAAATGAGCCCAGATATTTTATTTTGTCTTATAAGAAATGTTCCTGGCCCATTCATAATGATAAAGACTCAGATCATGAACTTTATTATTTTTTAAATACAAATGAAAAATAAAATTCACATCACACCGAGCTAATATTATGTAGTTCT